AATCCTTTAAAATGCACTCCCATAAAGGGCAGGTGCTTTATGCTCCAGTCAGAGTAAAAGTTTTCTTAGCAGTCTGAAAAGCTGACTCCTGCTTCAGCAAAGTATTTGCACACATTCTTGTGGGCAAAGCACATGCTTTAGTGCCCTCCTGAAAAGAATTACTCCCATACTTCAAGCACAATATGTATGCATGTAAGTATCTTTCTGAAAAGCTACATTTCTTCTAAAGCATATTTTATGTGAGTGCATCACATGGAGCCCTGTAGTTCAAAAAAATGCAATTACAGAAAAATGTATTTTGATGCTAGTGCATCTACCACACAGGGAGATATCTGCATTTCCTTTAAAGAAGCTGAAAACACAAATTTAATAAATTTTAAATGAAATTATTTTTAAGTGGGCAACTAGCTCCTTTGGTTAAATATCCAAATACAATATTTTACATAACAGACTGCATAAAAAGATGTTGCTTTTTGGATATGTAAGTTAGTTTATATATAGATATATATATATAAATGCAACTGGGTGCAGCTTATTGCTGTATTCACATTTACAATACAAATGAAAACTCATTTTTCTTATCTGAAATTTCAGAGAGAAACAAAGGCAATTCTACATAGCTTGTGAATTCACCTACTATTGGCATGATCTGCTGATGAAGGAGTAGCTGGTTAGCCCAAGTTGTCAATAACATTATTAGACATTAGTTGTTATGAGAAGCTCAAAGCCAAATCTCTCCTTTTAGGCTTATGAAGAGAGGAAGGGAGTGTTCAGAATTAGAATACCAAAGCAAGTTAGGTATGACAGAAACTGTCTTTTATTCCATACTTTAATAAAAACTAAGTTAAGACTATGTTCGAGTAGGACTACTGTTACAGTAATAACCTCAAAAACCAAATTAATACCTCATTAATTAATACACTCATTTGCATTTTTTGGTCATAGTGAAAAGCAGAAAGGCCTTATGAATGTATTAACAAAGAGATCAAACAATGCCCTTATTAACTGTATACATTCTCACAAGAATGACTGAAGGTCTCTATGCTTCACCTATTAAAACTTCACTTAATCTCTGAACAATTTCCTGAACTTGTTACATGAAACAGGGTCACATTTGTTAGTCTTTAAGGAAAAGTTTGCATTAATTAATTGTATTGAACAATGTTATTAAATTCTAAACTATCCCCATTTTAAAGGATAATGAAATAAAAGGTAGCATTGAAAAGACAGGCTTGGAAATTGAAAAAAAGAGAATATCCAACCATATCAAAATACATTTTAAAAAAATTGGACCAACGCTAACAGATGGAAAGGGTATGGGGAACCTAACTTCTGCACAACACTGAAAGAAGAAATGGATATGAGACAGGCACTTTTTGAAAATTAGACAGAGATGAGTAGAGAGCTCAAGGGATTTGTAATGGGATACCGAGCCCTTCACATATAGGTCATGAGTTCAAACACAGCCTGGATTATTGGTACAAGATTTTGTTACCATCTGTCAATTTTTCCTAGTGGATACATCCACATTATAACAGGCATCCTTGTTGGCAGCCCCAATTGCAACCAAGATGCAATTGGAAATGAAATAAAATTCTTTACCCTGAAAGGTGGCCTTTGAACTCAGGACTTTGTTCCTAAAAAAGTAACAAATGATCCTAACATTGATCCTAACTACAGACACAGAAACTGAGATGTAATGATCATTGTTACATTCCACATCAAATTTTCATCAGCTTTCAATATTTTCTTTACACCTGCTTTAGACAACCTATGCCCACTATACACTCAAGGCAAGTTAAGACAAATACTTGAGCGCTTAATTAGAAAAGATGCTTTTTCCTACTAAGTTAAATGAAGATGTACCCACTAATAGCGGTAATTTTTATCTTTTGGAGATATAAAAAAAGTGACTGCTGAAAATTTTCTAGCAACAAAAGCATTTCTGGTAATTTAAGAAATGTTTTGGGTTTTTTTTTCCCCGAACAGAGTTACTTTAAAATTGACACTTGCTTTGTTCATCACAGAAACCTGCAGCCACCACTTTTTTATCCAGTTAATCCAAGACAGCCTAGCAGAGTACTGACCTATGGCATTCTACCAGTGGAGAATTCACACTTCTCCATCTTCGTCCCTCTTCCCATTTAAAAACAAATCCCATATGACCTGAAAGAAAACAGGGTACAAGCAGTTTCTCCCCACTTTTGAAACAGGTCAAAAGGATTCTTAGGATCAGCTGCCTACAGAGGCTCAAACTATGTTCCCAAATGCCTGCAATAAGTCAATGGAGTAAATTTTGCTTTAGATAGTAAGGAAGTGTGATTTTACTTCTAAGATGCTACCATAGTACAGTGCAACAGTCTCTACAATGTAATATAAATATATCTACATACAAGCTAATACTTCTTCTTACTGATAGTTGCTAGATAAATTCTTATTTTGGGCATATGAATTCACATGAAGGACAGTCTTCAAAGCATTTCCTTTTCCTGTCTTACTATAAGTCGGACTTCTGCTATCAGCAGCTTAGTTAAGTAGTTCTCCCTACAGATTAGCAGATAAATTTCTAAGAGAAGAAGAAAAAGTTTACACATTTCCTTCTCATTTTTCATGATAGAGAGAACTATATTAGTTCTTACCTAACTGTATTAGGCCTTCCATACCTAAATCCTTCTAACTGCAACAAAAACATTCAGCCCCATGCTGCTGATGCATTGACTCGGTGAGGGGCAGCAGGAGCCAATTGACCACGCACTGCCTTAACAGATGAAGAGACCTGTCAGTGTGAGAAGTCACTGCTTCCTCATGAATGTGCTAATCTTGTGTAAAGCATCTTTTGCAAATCTTAAGCATTTGAGTTAGGCTTGAAATATTCATACCTTTGTATTGAAAAAGTATTTAGCAGTGCTGGAAAATTCTCAGCAGAACTGCTTTCTATTGGATGACATAGATGACATCTATTAATTTACAAACGCTTCACAGGTACTCAAAGATTTTGATGACATTTTCATAAGAGATCCATTAAGAGAAAGACATGAAAAAAAATTCATTTACACATTAATTACTTCCATATTAAGTTTAATGTGTCTAGATGTTGTATTACAGTATTTTAACATTGACACAAAATGCTACTTAATTCAAATGTTCAAAAATTCTGCTCTCCAGAAAGCTTTTGTTCCTACTTGGAATAAAAACAATGGAAAAATTCTAAGTGCCTAATTTTTTACCATGGGAATTTCCAACCATCCAAAAATAAAAAGCATTTGGTTCCTTTGATCTGCTTTCTGAGCTGCAGAACATGATTATTTTGTGTTTTCAATGTTTTGTGTTTAGTTAGGTTACAAGAACAAAGACAGAGAAAAGGCAGTATAGGGGTCATGGTAAAAGAGGATGAAGATGAGGAGGATCCACACATGCAGAGATCTGTGAAGCTCTATCTTTGTTAATTCCCGATTCTCTGAACATCCTGGCTGATACACACTTGTAGGATGGTTTAGGTTGAAAGGGACCTCCTGAGGTCACTTAGGCCAACCCTCATCTTGGGAGAAATTCTAGCTGGTTTTGAGGAGAGGTACTCAGTTTAGGCCAATTTTGACAACTGGAACATGTCAAAATAAAGAATTTTTTTGCTCAGAGAAGAGAGAGAAAGCACAGCCTGGAAGGCTACCAATGCTCTTTCCCTCCCCCCTGTCTCCACTTTAACAATTAATTTGCAAATGTTTCATAAGAACTCAATGATTTTAACAACTCACTCAAAAAAAACAGCCACTGCCCCAAGGCAGGAGGAGGAAAATGAAGTTGACATAAAAGTGTGTATTGAAAAAAAAAAACCAAACAAAACTGAAGTATGTTTTTCTCTTCAAGACCCCCCAAAAGCTCCCTAATTTTCTGTGCTGTTACAGAAAAATGTGTCTCAAAATCAGTACGTAGCATGTAATTTAAAATAGTTACTAATACTGTGAACTATACTGAATTGTCACAACTCAGAATATTTGTCAGACTGTTTACCTTATATTTTATACATACAAATTACGTATCTTATTTCTAGTTTTACACAATTTTGTAGCTTATGCAGGTTGCTATAAATTCATGCACATTTAAAAGATATTTTTTGGTGGAGGCTAGAATTACTTTAATTACAATTCTGAATATCAATGACTAATTAAAATTGCATAGTATGTCCATTGTGCAGTTGTGAAAAAAACCCCAAAAATGCACTAATGGATGGATCTATCAGAATCACACAAATGCTGGAGCTTCAAATGAAATAGCTTGGTAGTAGTTATAGGAATATATCATTACTTTATAATATTTAAAACAAATATGCACATGTACACACACACATACCTGATTTAGAAGCAGCAGCTTCCCTTTCCTTTACATTTTTTGATTCCATTAACTGAAGCAAACAACCGCTTTCCCATGTATTTTCTGCAGGTACTAGCTGTAAAATATGATAGTATTTCCTGTAATTTTTAGAATTAAATAGGAACACTGACTTTTTGAGTCATCCAAACTTCAAATAGTTTCTACACTAAAGTGGAAAGATTATATCTAATACTACTAAAAATATACTTATTAGCAATCTTTGACAAAGCAGAATTTGATTAAACAGCTGCTTACCTTATTTTTGGATGCCTGTGGCCTGCAGCAATAAAGAAAAAAAGAATAAATTAAACAACTTAGTAGAAACATTCTTTATAACAAATGAAATCTTATAAGCCTTTCTTCTGCTCTAATATTAGTGTATAACTTTTCTTACATTGAAACAGTGTCAGCATGGTAGCACAATTTCAAGCACAGTTCTGTGCCATATGTGAACATCATCAGAAGACTAATTAGCCCAAACATTGTTCCATCTAATTGAGAAAGCAGTCAAAAGAAGATTTACTGCAATGTATCAAGCAATCTAAATGACTGTAAAACTTTATACTCAGAAGGAATTCTAGCAACTTTAGAAGCTATGTAAGGACTCAACATCTACTAGTATTAAAATACTGATTACTACAACAGAAAATAAGGAATGAAAAAAAATCCCACAAAATATATTTCCCTCTCTACATGCTGTTTACACTGGGACATGTTTTCTGGGTACTGTAAGATACAGCAGCTCCCATTGATTCCACTGGGATTCATAAGGTGAGTCAGCACTGCTAACAGTCAGCGTGGACTTAGCAAACTGCATAGAGACTCACGCACAATGTGTTTTGTCATGCACAATCTGTCTTGCAGCCTTTCACACAGCAGTGAAGATGAAGTACTGAGCATTTTGTTTAAAGCTACTGAAAAAAATAAAAGGAGACGAGGGAAAAGTACTGATGTTCATATTCTCTAAAAAAAAATTTTAGAAGTTGCATTGACTTTTAAATTTTACCATTTCAACTTCAAATAAGGCAAACTCAAAACTAACTTTACAGAACAAACATGTCCAGTATGTAGCTGTAGACCTTGAGTATCAGAAAAGTTATATTGCTTTCAATTAAAAAAGCAAAATGCTCACATTTTCTGATACCTGCATGTTATTCATTAAAAATTAAAGTATAATTTTAATAGCAAAATAAATTGAGATTAAAGCTTAGGGGAAAAAAAAAAAAAGATATGAAACACTAAAAGCAAACAGGGTTTTGCCTAGAGAGTTTGAAAGAGTAATAATATTAAATACAGAAAACTAATCATGGCAAACAAACACAAGTCTTAATTCTTAATCAAATTGCAGGGTTTCTCAGAACAGAAAATGATGTTACATAACTGAAATTTTTTATTTTAAAGTAAGGCTGCATGGAGGAATTTGAAGGGGCAAGCAGTTATTCTCAACAAGGTGACGACTGAGAGGGAGGTGCTGCTAGTTGCAGCATATAAATCATATAGCATATAGACTTGAATCTGGATCTGTGGGCTTGCAAGGTGATGTGCAGGGAAATGCAGGCTGAGGAACCCTGCAGGCACTCAGGAGTGCAATCTGTCAGGAGCAGGAAGCTGAGGGTGTGAACGTGCAGCTACGGTGCTAGAGCTGCCTCCTCCTCCTGTGGAAATGCAGGAGGATGCTTTCCAGGGGCTCCCTCCTGAACACATTCAGACCACAAATAAGCAGTCCCTGCCTGGATTCTGACAGTCAGCCCGGGTGTTTTTAGACTTCTGTATGGTCACTCAGAAGAAAAAAACCCGTGAAAGTCAAATCACACTCTCTACGAACAACAGGAGCATTTTGGCTTTTGTTACATCCAGACTTATGAAGTCAATGCAAATGTACTTGAAAAAATTCTTCCTCTCCATCTGATTGAGAGCATCTCCCCGTCACAGGCTGGTCTTTTTACAGCCTTTGAATGTGGTTAGTTTCCTTACTGTTGTTGGTTGATCATTTTGCCGTGGCAGCTGGTATAACTTTTTCCATTTGTCCCTTAAACTGTCTAGTAGGTAGGACATTCACCCATGAAATAACAGATCTTCTCCTTCCTGACAGTTACAATCCTGTATCTGTTACTGCACAGAAAAGCACACTAGGCACTCTCCAGAAGTTTGTGATCTAGTGATATACCGATTCAGGAGGCTGCTGAATTAGACAAAGCAGGTATGAAGATTTACTGCCACACTAGGGAACTACAGAATCACTGCTTCGTAATGTTTATGCAACCTATATGAACTCAACAGAAGATAATGAGAATTACTTAAAGCATTAGGGAGTTATCCTAAAATGTGGAAAATTTGCAAATAAAACCCTGTAGGGTAGATGTGCGTGCTGGAGTCTGAGATGCTGGGCAATTGCACTTAGAAACAATGATTAAAACAATAGGTAGACACAGTCACCATCGTCGTCAGCTCTACAGTCTCTCTCTTCCTAAATTAACACTACTCAGTTTTTCCTTTTCCTGAAAATACCTACAAATGAACTCAAAACTCCATTTCTGGCAAATTAATGATTTGCTGAAAACAGTTCAGATCTAGTCCCTATATGTTCCTCAAACCACATTAAAACACTGGGGAAACAGACTGTAGCAGAAACATTTTAGTTACACACCAAAAAGAACCACCGCTTTATCACCACATTCACTGGAGTCAATGGGATACAACACCTATACTGGCAAGCAGAGAACAGCTGTACTAACATATTAGTGCTGTAAAAGTAATAATATAGTCTTATACTTACTGTTGATGCGAAGAGCAAACTCTAGTAAGCTTTTCCAACTCTTCACCACTCAGTTCTTTAGCTGCATTCCTCAGTGTTGTAACTGGACTAGGAACTGCTGTTTTCCATTTCCTTTCTAAATTAAGTAAAAATAATTTTTAGGCAAAATATAAAAGTAGTATTTGCTTAACATAAAGCATATACATGAAACTAAGTAATGGAGAAATATTGATAACTCTTCTGTGTATGCTCTACACTCTTGTCTTAGACTATGCAAAAAAGCATTGATTTTTTTTTTTTTTTTTTTTTTTTTTTTTTACAAACACACTATTTTCATCACATCAGACTCACTGACCCTAAACCAAAAATAAGCTTGAAATAACCATGGATCAAAGTCTCAATTAATAGAATAAAGAATGATAAACTATTTGCACCTTTTTCATTAAACGTGTGAGAAGAATTTTCAAACAGGAACACATTTCATGTAACAATTTCAGAGAAATTCTGATATAAATGCTGCTTCTGCTATATAACGTTTTTAAGCTGCCAAAATGTATACTCTATAATTAACTTTTTCTTCTACCATATTAGTTTAGCCTGTACTCACCCCACTGCTCCTGTATGGAAGAAAGATTTGCAAGCAGCTGCTCATGATACAGTCGTTCAAGCTGAATGAACTTCATTGCCTTCTCATCTGAATGGAAGGTTAAAGAAAAATGCACACATATATAGACATGTCATGATTTATTTATATTTGGCGCCTTATTTGGAAGGGCAATCATTATGTACCTGAAATTTGACATAATTTGACAAAATGAATAATGGCTAGCATCCAGATTTCTGTGCAAGGAACAAAATAATAGCAGACATGAAAACAGTAAGTAAGGAGTAAAGTAAGTTGAGAAAAGTTCCAAAAATGAAAATCTTAACTCTCTTCAGCAGTTACCTCTTCCCACATGCCTTAAGTCCAACAAAAGGTCTTCTAGAAAAGACAAGCAAAATGTTATGGTGATACCTCTTATCAGAAAATGAAATCTCTGGGAAATTAAAAAAAACCCAAATACTAACATGCATCTCTCAAGAAATGCAATTATATGCCAATAACCACAACTAAGTGAAAATATGGCTCCTTTCTACTGATCAGCTGGAGACAATATTTAAGAAATTTTCCCAACTCAAACTTTAAAAAAATACCCTCCCCCTTCTCAACCATTGTATACAACACTGTTGGACAGCTGACAGACAACTTTTGACTTCTTTCTGAATGTTCTAGTTTAACTTAGCTGGCAGCCAAACAAGACACAGCCATTTGCAGCCCCCTCCCCTGCTGAAGATCCTGCTTACTTTTCTTCTCTATGAAGAACTCTTTCCTCTCCCTTAGGGTTATCAATATATTCACAAAGGTATATTGATAGCTATATATTTTGTAATAGTCAAGATAATTCTAGTTCCACCAAGCCCAAGCTGTTAGTTTTTTCTGTTTAAAGCCATGTTTTGACAGCTATTTGAAATTTAATTCAACAGTACAATGAGGATAGAAGTACAGTGAATGAAGTTCTTGGTAATATAGAAAAAGTATTTTTCATTATTCATGCTAATTAAATTGCTGGAGTAATTTTACAAAAACACAATCACACAACCACTACTTATTATTCTTGTTAGCCTTATGCAACATATATAGAGCATGGCTTAGGTGCAACAATATTAATGGAAAGAATATTCCCTGCCTTCAAGAAATTTGTTATCAGAAACAGAATTACAGATCAGATAGATAGCCTTAGAGGACCATAGCAACAAACCCCGAATTATTGTTAATATGAAGTTCTACACTGGATGAATTAAAATGCCTGTCATGGATAATTAATACAGTGCAACATGATCAAGTAAGTTCTTTATTAACCTCAGGAAACTGATGGTTGCAAGTACAGAGGAGATATCCTTCATAAATATGTATTATATAGTGGTGTTGAATTCCACACATCAGGTGTACATCGCATTAAAAATATTTCCTTTGATCAGCTTTAAATACAGTGCTCTTCGATTAAAGCAACTTCTATGAAAGAGAAACTGTCTTTCTATCCTGCTGTTGAATGCATTTTAAATGTACTATATTTGCCCCTGCAGAGCCATAATCTACCACAGAATTTTTCCATACCTTTAATTTGTGCTGTATATTAGGAATTTGCTGATTGGTGCTTTTGAATTTGGATGACCAAGACAGAAGTACAGTCTTCTAAGACAGCGACGGATACTATATTTTATATGTTGCTTTTATAATATTGCAACAGTTATTGCTCTCGTTTTCTACTACAGGCTAACATAATTTGGCTAGGTTTCAAGGATACCTTTCTTATGCTTTATTTAACCATTACAATTGCTTATTTGCTGTATTTTGTTTGTAACAAATTACATAATAAAGAAATAATCTGTATGCAAAGATTCTATAATTTATGACGCATCTTAGGGAATCATATACACCTTAAGGGCTTACCACTTTTGCCTCTTCTTTTTATAGTCTGATCATTTTCTCTTACAAGCAAACAGAGGAAAACCCAGTTCATCTTTTCTAAAAATATAATTTCACTTTAAGGTTTAATATGATTATTCTCTCCCAGAATTACTGAAATATATCAGTAATGAGCAGCAGTTCAACTACTATAACTTACTGACCAAACTTCCTTGTATTATCTAGGAACAAATCAAAATAAACCAGACTATTGAACTAGCTGTTCCCAGAAGCAATTACCCGTATTTTCCTACGACAGTTTCTTGAACTACCTTGATACGATTTTGAGTAATTAGCATTTGCCAAACAACACGTTGTTATTGTTTGCCGGTTGCTGATCTCCCACAGCTCAGTGTGTTTGGTATTTTTATTCTAATCTAGACACTTGTAGTACATATTCTAATCAACTGTTGTGATAATTTTGTTCTTACAATATCAGTGCTCTATTTGATATAACAGAATACACACCCTATCTAGATTGGACATATTCCCACTCACTAAGACTTAGAACAGAACTTATCCTATGAAAACAGAAGTTCTTTGAAAAAACTTTCTTACTTCCTTGTTTGTGCACAACTACTAATGATTGTATCAGTACAGATTATGGAAGTGGATTTATTGCTTAACTCATTTTCCAGCTGTCTGATGAAGGACTTGCCAACATATTGTGTATTCACTCATGGGTAAATTAGGGCTGTTTATTTCTTTATAACTTGTGAGTCAATGGTAAAACATTTGTCTGTTATGTTTTATCATGCTAGATTATTTTAAAATTGCGTAACAATTTCTACAAGTAAAAGGATACATTCCTCCTCTTGAAAATAGGTCTCAGCTATCTGCAAAAGTAAAAAAAGAAAAATAAGGATTCTATAATATTCATGAGAGTGGTAGGGATATAATATCAACTTTTTATCATAGTTTTAAACATCTGTTTTGCAGGTTCATATTTAGTTTGGGTAAAATATGAATGTTCAGAGTAAATATATATATTCTTATTCTAGGAAAGAAGTTTAAAAAGAATATCAAACAACAGACAAATATTTAGTCCTCTCACACAAACGGATTTGCCCAAATGTTAGTTGGGTTTTATCTTGTTACAACAACAACAAACAATCCTCCTTAGGTTGACATTTCTATAACAGAACAATTAAAATTAGATTTGTAACACGACAAGTCTGCCAAAAAATGGCCATTGGAAAAAAAAAAAAATCCCTGAAAATCACAATTTTTGAAGACATGTTCTCTTGGATGGATGTTGAGTTAATACAGATATGTTAAAACAAATACCAAGGAGTTGACACAAAAAATAAGCAAACTTTACCTGTTGCACTTAAAGCTCAAAGTGCTAAGAAGGTTTAATATATAGACCAAAAATCATTCCAAAGGAGTTACTGAGGACCAGGAAAATCAAACATAAGACAGACTACATATAAAATACCTGAACACCTAAATCAATCTCCAGCACTTCTAGCTTAACAAAACATGTAAGCTGATGTTAAATGCTGCTGTAACAGCTGCTATCTTAGCTGATGGCTAGGAATTGAACAAGGGATCTCTATGCCTAAGCATTCAAGATGTCTAGCTGCAACAGTTTAAAAATTACTTCACCCTTCATGTTATAAAATTACCTTGGATGGGTAATTTTATAATGCCTATTGTTAACAGATCACTTCAAAAAGGAACAGTAAATATATGCTCACCAAGGGTTTATACACTCAGAAGCTGTGTATAAATCAAGAACATGGGCACGCAAACATAAGAGAAAGTTGTGTTCCAGTACATCAAGTTATTGCTATATAAAAGTTAAATATTTTAATTGCAGTCTACTGAAATAAATTCACTATCCTCTTCCTAGTGATGATTTTGCTTTCAACCAGCTATTTCTAAGCCAAAATTACAAGCATGGAAGTGTCAGAACTTCCAGAAGAAGTCCAACCGTATCCTGGGCTGCATCAAGAGAAGCGTGTCCAGCAGGTCGAGGGAGGTGATTCTGCCCCTCTACTCCACTCTCGTAAGGCCCCACCTGGAGTACTGCATCCATTTCTGGAGCCCCCAACACAAGAGAGACATAGAACAGCTAGAACAAGTCCAGAGGATCATCCAGGATGATCCGAGGGCTGGAGCACCTCTTCTATTAGGACAGGCTGAAAGAATTGGGGCTGTTCAGCCTGGAGAAGAGAAGGCTCCAGGGAGATCTTATAGAGGCCTCCCAATACCTGAAGGGGCCTACAAGAAAGCTGGGGAAGGACTTTTCATAAGGACAGTTAATGAAAAAACAAGGGGAAATGGGTTTAAGCTGAAAGAGGGAAGGTTTAGATTAGATATTAGGAAGAAGTTTTTCACTGTGAGGGTGGTGAGACACTGGAACAGGTTGCCCAAGGAAGTTGTGGATGCCCCCTCCCTGGAAGTGTTTAAGGCCAGGTTGGATGATGCTTTGAGCAACCTGATCTAGTGGAAGGTGTCCCTGCTGATGGCAGGGGGGTTGGAACTAGATGATCTTTAAGGTCCCTTCCAACCCAAACCATCCTATGATTCTATGATGCCAATTAGAAAAAATACTTTTTCTGTTAATTAAGTAAAGTTATCAGTATTTTTTTTAATTTGTTTGGTTTTATTTGTTTTTTTCCCCCCAAAACTGGCATAAAGGATTATTTCTTGGACTAAAAGGGCAAAGATACCATTGTACTAGAAGCCATACAACCAGCTCAGAGAAAGCAAGTATCCAAAGACAGTCGGAAAATGAACATGCTTCTAACCAGAATCAGAATTTTGCTTTGACTCTGAGTTGGTGGTGGGGAGTATTATAGGAAAGATAGAGCTGATAGGTGGAAAGGAAGAGCTGTAACACTGCATAGAAAACCTAACGTGGTAACTGAAACATTTTCCTTCCAATTTTTCCCTGTGGACAAATAATCTTTGAGATTTGCAACAACAACAACTTACTTGTGCTTGCTAGAAAACAAGGCAGGCTTTCCTAGAAAGCTGAGGAATACTGATGACTTTGTAAATGCAGTAAAATACAAAAAATATAAACCTCAGAAGTAAAAATATTTTGTTTCACAGAACTCTACAGTATCAGTGACCTTTACAAGCACTAGCTAATCAGTCTTCAAGGACAGCAAACGTTGGCAGTCTTCCTACTTGCCATGCATGGTGCGGCAAGGGCCACACTTGCAAAGTGTGTCCAGTAACTGCAGGTACCCGGATACCTGAACACTCCGGTTGAGACACCTCATAGCAGACACCTCATAGCTGATACTCCAATGACTTCTCTGCTAGCACACAAACATTCAGTCTCAAAATTTTTGAGGCATATCAATTTAGGCACTCATAATTTTAAGGTCTTAACAAGTGGGCACTTTTGTAAAAGTCTAAAGATGATTGATTGCTCAAAACAGACAGCAACTTGATAGAGGGGTCTAGATTACAAGTTGCGCATTCCTGGCTCTCAGACTTCTCACTAACCATTAGATCATTCTGAGCCCAGTACCCCCAAAGGAGACTTGGTAAGTGACTTATAAGGCTCTTTATTTTCACATTTTGTCTGCTATCCACAGCAGTCTCCTAAGGATGGAGCTGCCAAAGCTCTGTATCTATGTTTTATATATAAGTAATTCTTAAATTCTGTAAAAAATGCTAAGCAAATTACATGAATCCCACTCAAGACAGGAAAAAAATTACATCCTATTTTAATTAAAAGTTAACCCTTAGAACAGCCCTTAATGTCCCACAGCCTTTAAATATTTAATACAGGCTTCCCACTGATGCAGACTGTTAATACTCTAGAATTTCTGACACAGCTCTCTATTTTACATTGAATTTTGTCATACAGAATAACAAGAGAATGTGACAGAAGAGTATTTGGTAGACTTGGCACAAAAGAAAGTTACTGGCAGGCTGTATTAGCAATAAGAAAAAAACCCCTGAAGATGACAGGTTAATTTGCTGGAAAAGGAAAAAAAAAATCTTAATAGACTCACTTTAGATGAAAACATGAATGCTATCTTTAAAATTCTTTTTTTTCCCGTATTAAAAAGTGTGTTACAATCCTTTCAAGATTTGTTAGCTTTCTTTCAAACATTCAATTCAAAATGCTTGATATTTCTTAGGAAAAAAGAGATGGTGTTTGATTACATGTTTGAATCTGGAAATGCAGATTCCTTTCTCAGTTCTGCCACAGTTCCTGTATGACTTTCAAAAGGTTGTTACCCTTAGGGTTTGGCTTCCTCATCTAAAAAGCAGCAAACAGATTTCACCTCTATCATGTTTGAGGACACTCTTTAATGTTTGTAAAGCATTTTGAAGTTTCTGCCTTAATTGTGTTGTTTTCCAAAACAGACCTTTATACTGACTCATGCATAACCACCAAATTCAGCATGGCTAAAAGTACAAATGGTTAACCCTAATGCTAAGTTTCAAATAAATTAATGAACAACATCAATATATTCACTCTAACACAAATTAAAAGAAAAAGTCAAATGTGAATTACCTATAGTTTTCAATACTAGAGATACCTCTTTCTCAAATATAATTGTTTATTGATACCAAAGAGAGTAAGAATGCAGGAGTGTCATCACAGTTAAGAAGTTTAAAATATCACAATCATTCAATTTTCCACAATAAAGATAATGCAACTAAGTCAAATCAGACACCATATAGTTTCTATTTTTATTGCCCATATTAGACACCACAGCCAAACAAAAAAGTCTTCTAGCCCACTGTTAGTCTGACACAACTAAACTATAAATAAATACTGTGTCAAGTCCTATCAACATATTAATCTTGCACCATAATCTCCAGAAAGAAAAACATACTAACCAGCTATTAAAAAAGATTGCTTTTCAAATCACACAGTATTTCTTTGGTCTTGCAGGAGTGGCAACTGTGCTATAAAAAAGTATACACTAAGAAACCTTGAATCTTAGCAGTCATGCATGAAATTCATGCTAGAAAGAATTCTGCAACATAAAAATAATTCCACATTTAAAATGCTATTTAAACTTCAGCTGTCTTGTATCTATACCAGTGTCTCACAAACCATATTTAAGGTACACGGAAAAGTCATTTTCTTAAATCTTCCTGTCAAATTAGAATTTCAACATTCAGGGAATTAGAAAACCCACCCTTAAGACTTTCCTTTAACTGCAGAATACACTTGCAAGACAATTTATAATTTAACATATATTAGAAGACCTTAGAGGAGATACTTGCCTTGACCACCTGTTACACATCAAAATACCCTGTTCAAATGTGAATATTGTCATATGTTGAATTAAAGCATTTTTCCCCAATTAATAAAGGTCTCAAATAAAAACAAAATTGTGTGCAACACCCCAGAATCATAGGAAGTACCTGATGGAGACACAGGGGCAGTATCTTTGAATCCATCTGCTCAACCTCTTCACGGAGCAAAGAGAAAAGAGACTGCAACGTTTGTTTTTGTTCTTTTTGGTGAAAGTTTTCATTCACTTCAACAGCATGTACAGAATCTGTATCTGTAATAAGAGTATTTTCCTCCTTGACCGCTGTGGTTCCCACTGTAGGAACGCCTTTAAAAAGAACAAGTACTTAGGTTAGGAATCAAAAACTACATCAAGCTGCCTTTTTAGGAAATTTCAATACAAAAACTATGAATTAAAATCGAGTATCTTAACATCCCTGCAAGTAAATAAAATATTGGTCTTGTAAAAATTAGTTGCAATAGGTCTGTTTTGGTGTCAGCTCACCTACCTGAAAAACACAGTAACATACATCAGGTATAGTTCTAACTGGGGCCTGACTAACTTGGGGCTAAAAACCCCCACCTAGTCTAAACTGTTCTACGTAAGAGAAGCACTAGGATGACCTAAAATAAAAAGGGTAGTGTGTTACAGTTTCAGCTAGAAAAATCAATATTTATATCCCAGTGGACAAACTTTCATGTTAAGACTGAATTGTTACACAGCAGAGACAGAAAGCAGAGTTGTTTACAACAGAGTCTTGCTCAAAAAGGGCAAAGAGAGGACACCGTGAATGAGGTTCTCAGTTTGTCTCTTCACTCCTGACAAGGACCTTGTACAGGAACATGTCCATGGGAAGGAAGGGCAATTCAACCAGTTCTTCAGATGATAGCACAGTTGCTCTTCACAGTGACAACAGCATCTTAAAGGACAGAAAGAAGCAGATGATGACAGTGGGGGATTCTACTGTGGAGAAAGAGATGTCCAGGGGAACTGTCCTGCTGAGTGAAAAGGAAGACACCCCCCACACTGGATAGTCAAATCATTTATTTGAGAGTCCAAGGAATGAGCCAGTAGTGGTGATCGATGTTTGTAACAATGACACGAGGAAGTGTAACCTGAATTTAGTCTCCAGAACTTCTTGCTAAGCAGAAAGCTAGGGCCTCCATGGTACATTCCCTGGCAATGCACTGTTGCCTGTCTCCAACTTTATAGCGGTCAAAAAAATCAGACATACACATGGAGGACTGGCAACATATATGAACGATAATTTTTATGCTGTTATGCTTTACACATTACATGAAAAACTGTACATGAAAATCAGTGCAAATCCCACATTTTATTGTTAGAAATGCAAAATCTGTAGTATATTGCTGATCACAAACATGATAGACAACAGGAAATGTTAAATGAGATTAGAGCAGAAGTGTAGAGCAGGCAGTTGTAGTGGGAGAAATCAACTACCCATATACAGACTGCACCAGTTTCTCACACAGATCAGAGAATAAAAGCAATAAATTTTGGCTTCCTATAACACACAGTCTCAGGAGTAACCAAAAAACTATAGCTTATTCCACCAATTAATTAACAATTTATTTTTTCGTAAAACAACACTGAATTTGATACGTTTACACAGGACTGAACTTCCAAAAAATTCCAGTAATTTTAAAAAACAATTTAGAGAATTTGGTCACTGAAATGTGCACAATAAACTTTTATAAACTCAAGTTATGATGAATATGTTATTCTTCCTCAGCTACACCCATTTTCTGACAATCAAGTTTTAATTTAAAAGCAGGACAGGTGGGAACACTGTTTCAAGTAACCATCATACTTTGATGTTCTACAGCTTAGGCACTCAGCATATTTCAGATCCTCTTGTGTTCACTGCAACTGAAACCCTATAGTGATGATTCAGGTTTAAGATTTAGGGCTTAAGAAACGCATTAGCTTGTCCACTTGAAGGCCCCACCATTCTATTTTTGGTTATTTTAAACTCTTCAGTAAGTAAACTATCCAGGTCAGGAGTACTAATAATCTCTGTGGGTGGCTATTTTCACAGGGCTTACTGCCAGACAAAATATGGGTGTAACTTAACATTGTTTTTTCAATATTAATGCACATCTCTTCTTTTCCGGTATTTATTTGGGCTTGCTGTGGGCCAAAAGCAACAAGAGACATAACTGGATGCAAGATACAAACCAGGAAGTACTTGGTCCACATGTTCTGGCAAACCTTTTCTCTCAGCAAAAAAAAAAGAAAAAAAAAAAAGAAAAGTAACTTTAAAGCAGCTAATAATCACCTATATTAAAACATGAACATTGACTGAAACATGCTCAATAGCAACTATCATGAAAAACCTTAATTTTATTGTTATTGTGGTACTGTTGCTAACATGTAATTTATAAACTGCATATTATTCCTACATATAGTTGAGCTGTCACTCACCTGTAATCAAATTCTGCCCTCAAATTATTCCCCCAATTCTGAAGCAAGGCCTTACAGCCATTCAGGTTAAATCTAGCTTGTTCTATTTTAAACACCAGGTGGCATTTGTGTTTATAACCACAGGTTTTCCTTGAGACAGTAACACTTAGCAATGCTATTTCATCATAATGGTGTTACGGGCTAAGACCCTTATGTTTTTTTCTCCATGTTCTTGAAAAGGGCACACAACACTGCTTTTTCCTGGAATCAATCTTACTGTCCAAAGCAAGGGGGTGGGGGGCGTGGGGTTTTTTTTGTTTGTTTGTTTGTTTTTTTTTGTTTGTTTGTTTTTTTTTTTAACTGAAGACTGGTATCTTACATATATTTCTGATTTTTTAAGAAGCAAGGATTAAGTTTTTACACTTTGCAAAGCATTGATATTTCCTTCATACACTGATATTTGGTTCCATACTAAAATGGAACCAAAGCCTTTATGAAAATAAACGTGAAAAAACACAGAAAATGTCAACTCTCCAATGACCAGAGCACTCACTAGCAACATGGCAGAGCGCTGCGACCAAGTTTCTGCTCTGCCAGACTCAGAGGTTTCAACTGAAATCTTCTGTGCCCAGCTGGGTGTGACAATGTTTCCTAAGACATGTGGAGAAGCAAACTTTTTCAAAATTTCCCTAAGAGTTCACAAAAGCAGCCCCATGTTTGCAAAAAGATCCAGTTTGGTCAGACATTGTGAATAAAAATAACAAATGCATTTTTCAATATGTCGAACCTTTTCTGGTTTACTTCAAGTAAATGAAATTAAGATGCTCTTGCCACCTGCCTGAGAATAAGTCAAAAGCGCAAGCATGAAGCATTTGCTATCAAAATAAAATTATGGATATTGTCCTCTGTTTTTTAATGGAATTCTAATTTTCACATTCCATAGCATTTGCTTAAGTCACCAGTAAGTTGCTAGTACAGAAAACATACGGTAATCTCTCTTTTTAAACTTTCTTTGGTACTCAGTACCAGAAAGCTGAAAAAAAAAAACCCAGAAAAAAAAACCCCAAACCATGAAACAAAAGACCAGTAAGTGTTTAAAAAAATATTTTTAAGAGAAGAGATTTTAAGACAGGAGTGTTGACGGTAAAGATGTAACTCTAATTGAGCAAGCTCAAAATCTTGTTTGTGTAGCAGAGAATCCTAAATAAAATAACATTGCTTGAATTTTAATATAATTTGACTATTTATTTTAATATATTTAATTTGCTGCAATATCAAATCCATTCCAGCCACTCCCCTTTTTCCCTCCTCCCTTACAATAAGCTGAATAATTTCCAGGAAAAGGGTACGTTGCAGACTTTAACTTGGGGAAAAATGATTAAGTGCAAGTTAGCATGTTATGCTATGTTAAGGAATTACACACTGTGATTTTACAATATTAAGTTACTAGTTATGCCAGGACTGATCTTTTGCAAAAAGATGAAGTTATTTTAAGAGAACAGGAATAATTTGAAGTCCACATTTCCAAAAATACATTGAAGCAGATGACACTTCATGAATCACTATCTCTACTGCACTAAAGTTAGTACAATTCATTAGAAGGAATCAAAGTATGAATAATCACCAAAGTTTAAATTTCTCAATTTAAATTTACATCACTTCTTTGATCACAAGTGTCCTCCTTAAACAGATGTAATTGTAGCCCATTGAAAACTACTATTAGTATACAAAATGAATGTGGGAGAAATTTGGGGTCTGGAAGCTACAGAGTTGTCAATTCACTCTAATACGTCTTACTGCATCAAGACAATTCCAAACAGTGCATAGGTGAAATCTTGGAACTGCTTATTCCAGGACATTGAAATGGACTCAAAAAACAACTGTAAGTCAGGCGACAAATTCACTGTAAGCTATTACAATTTATCAATTCCCACTTGGGGAAGTCCTGAATGGATAATTGCTGATGGCAAGGAGAACACACAAACAAATCACTACCTCTTTGCCTTGTCCCCATACTCTTAACCAACCCAGCCTCTACTGGTCACTGTCAGGGGAAGGACATTGAGCTAGGTGAATCTCCAACTGGATACAGTGATTCTTAATCTTGCATTCCAGTCTCCTGATTATAGAAGCTAGGATAACTCTAGCTCCAACACATTCCAAGTATATATATAGAAACATAATAACCAAATACTTATAACGGTTTATGCTTTATAAGCAAATATTTAGAGGGTTTCAAGCACATTGCAAGTGTGAGTACTCATTCTTTCTTCTAAAGTTAAAACACATGTCCAGAGCAGAAAATTGGCTTCTCCAATCGTCACCAATCGTCTGCTAAACAAGTTTCAAATAAATAAATAAAAATAAGTAAAATACAGTTTTCCCTATTCCAGATTCATTGCTTTAGTCACTAGCAGGAAAAGGAATATGAACAGCATGTTTTTTAGGTCAAATTCATCTCTTCCAGGATGGCATAATTTAACAGCAATCCTAACAGGTTTGCTTATAGGGAAACAGAAGATGATTCATAAATGTTGTCTTTAGCTATGAGTCAAAGTAACTCATCCATGATTTCTCAATAGTTAAAAATACATGCCATACAAGTATTTAGTTTGTGATTCCAGCTTGCTTGTGTGGCACTCTGCTGGCACCTACTCATGGATCATCTATTCTGGTTTGATTATTTTCTCCTTGATCTCTGAGTTGGTATAAAGATGAGAAAGCTAGTTTGGCTCTTTTATGTAGAAGGATACTCGGGAACTGTTTAAAACAGCTAGTGTTAAAAATCAAATGGAAGAGTCTCACTGAAATAAAGAAATTTGCAACATCAAGAAATTGTGGCAGTCATTGCATTGTGTAAAAACAGAACCATCATGTGAGAGTATCTAAAAAGCTAAATGTAGATTAGCTCATAATCAATCGGAAACATAATGTGATTTTATATTTTGATCTTCCTTCTATAAAAGTCAAGGTACTTTATTAATAAAGTAGTAAGAGTTTGCTCATAGGAATTCAACAAAACTCTTAAATTTTTGCAGGCAGCATGTTCTCTGCTATAGTATTTTACATCTCTAGATTTTTCCATGAAATTTTCTATATTTCAGATTTCTTCTTATTGCCTTAAAACCGTCATCTACTGTGCACAGCTCATTTTGTGGTATTTCTGCACCAGCTGATTGCATTTATCAACAAAATACAAACAGAGAAAGAACACAGACAAAATTTAACTTTTAGTGTTTGGGTGAATTTCTCTTGTTCTTCATCTCACCATGCTTCAGATACCTCTGTCCACATGTCTGTATCACATTTCGTCTACTTGATTTTTCTTATTCCCACCATACAGATGACTGGTTCTCAATTACATCTGCCAATCTCTCATTTTAATTAGGTATTTTCTTATATTTTTAAAGTTCAAATCTGTAGTTGAAATATAAACTTAATGACTTTCTGCATGATTTAATGAAAATTCATTCTCCCTATAATTCTAGATTTCAGGATCCTCTTATCTCTACTAGAAAATATATTTTTTCTCTTCAAGATTTTACCTATACATACAAGACATGGAATGCAAGACTTCTTTCCTTTCTTTACCTATTTTATAATCTTTTAAGATCATCACCAGTTTTCAGATTAGGCCATAAAGGACCTGCCATTTAGCAGGGAAACTGTATTTTAAAATTATCTATTTTACATAGCCAAATTCCCCATCTTCAAGTGCGGGGGCGGGGGGAAGGGAAGCAGGCATGATTCAGTTCTCCCAAGTAACTTTCAAAGACACCTATGTGATGAAACACACTGACTTTCATTAATATATTTGCAGCAGTATGACATATAAGCTTTATGATTTATGGCCAAAACATAGTATCACATCACTTTGTGTTGATGAAGACAAATCCTACTCATTCAAAAAGGGAAGAATTATCTCAAATAAGTACACATAATAAATATTTACATTTTCCTTACCTAATTCATATCCAAAAGATCTAAAGGAGAAGTAACATCAAACATCTTTGAACAGCTCATTACCCAAAATGCACATTCTAGGACTATATTAAGCTTTGAAAAATCTAAGTAAATTTTGACAATAGCAGGCTAAGATCAAGCTCCTTGGTACTCACACCAAGATTTCAAATCTTGACATTGGATCAAGACACTAAAATCTTGCACTCAAGCATGATGTCAAACGAACAAAACCATATTTCCTGAATTTCTGGCTATTCTGATTTGGAAGTCAGCCCAACTTCCACACTGAAACTCAGCACTTCCCTCCACTCGCGCTTCCTTGATATAGTCCATTTGCTACATAGCCAATGTTTAAATACAGAAGGTAAAAACATCTAGAAATGAATCTGATTTAGGACCAAAAACAGTTCTGAAAAAAACCCCCAAACCACCAACTCTTTAGTGACATTTTAAAAATAATTAGTACTAAAATATATCTTTCTTATCAGTTCATGGATTAGAACTACAGTGTTATTATTTTAAGTAAAGATAACAAAAACATTTTTTTATAAAGTACCTTTAGATTTTCTACTGGAGCTTCTTTTGCTTCTTGGACTTCTTTTTCCATCTGGCTGTTTTTCTGTAATACGCTTTTCCTCCACCTGGGGGTCCACATGGGCAGCTGTCCTCTCAGTCTCACTTTCCTTATAGCTTGGGGTACAGTCTCCACTGTCCATATTCTCATTATTATTGATGCTGTCCTGCTCACCTTTATCCTGTCGTCCCATAGCAAAGCTACTACTGGTCAGAACCTCATTCCCATCATCGTCAAGTTGATTTTCATTTTCATCAGCTGAAGAAACCAAATGAGATGCCAAACTTCCCACTCTATAGTCAGCAGG